AAGTCACTATCATAATTACATTATGTAAAGTCACTATCATAATTACATTATGTAAAGTCACTATTATGACTACATTATGTAAAGTCACTATCATAATTACATTATGTAAAGTCACTATCATGATTACATAATGTAAAGTCACTATTATGATTACATTATGTAAAGTCACTATCATGATTACATTGTGTAAAGTCACTATCATAATTACATTATGTAAAGTCACTATAATTTATGTTCACACTTTGTTTCATTTCGAATGTAGACAGTCTTACATTACACAAGTAGTTCCATATATTCCAATGCTTGCTCATTCCGTAATATGTTTAGTATTAATGTCTAACATTAATAACCTAATGATACATAATTAATACACCACATAAATAATATGGTTAAGTAAGTCAAGCAGCAGGTGGCTGATTGATATACATATTTATAGGGGAGAGGAAAACATACCCTGCTTAAATACAGTCACTAATATCACGGTTACCTGACTCGCTTAAAACGTGTTTGTTTCTACATTATCCACGTTACTGAGCCTGATATAAGAGATGACTAATTGTAGATAAAACAGTCGTGTACTGGTACACTTTCAATATGGATGCCCCCCTGTCGTTATTGTTGTGACGCAAACAGGAGCACAAAGACGTGTTGTTGTTGTGTTGCTATGGTGTTCCTGAAAGCAACAGACCTTCATGCAATTAAGGCCCTTCCCCAGTAGCACAGCGGCATGTCTGCGGACTTACAAAGCTAGAGTCCGGGTTTCGATACCCGTGGTGGGCAGAGCACAGATAGCCCATTGTGTAGCTTTGTGCTTAATTAGAAACATTAATTAATTACAAACAAACATTATGCAATTAAGAACGATTAACTAAAATCCTAAAAATAAGCATGATGGTTCGTTGTAAGAAGTGTAAGAATGCTTTAAATAAAATAGCACACTCTTTTTACAGCCCTACCTAGAGGCTCAGCGGTAAGTGTGATGACTTATAACGCTTAAAACTGGGTTTCTATACCCGTGGTTGGCACAGCATAATTAGCTCATTGTGTAGCTTTGTACTTCCTAACAAACAAACAAACAAAACACCCTCTTGCAGTGACAGATATTTAACAAAAAATCTTAAACTGTACTATTTTTCTCTAAAGAAGAATGGGGAGAGGGAGATAGAAAACAAAACAGGAAAAAGTGTTTTACTGGAAAACAGTAATTAACAAATAATACAACAGAAAAACTCCCGACAAACGTTTTCATTGCACATTGTTTCAGGCACTGAATGCACAAGACTATAAGGAACGGCTTCTACTCGAAACGGCGAGCGATTCGAAACGGGGTCTTAAGTTGTAAAGTTATGCACACGACACAAGGTTTTTGGATCTTAATGGATCGTGTATCATTCCTTACAGTAATGTTAACTCAATAGAATATTGGTAGGATCTGGCGAATGTGTGGGAAGAATATATTGTTAGGATCTGGCGAATGTGAGGGAAGAATATATTGTTAGGATCTGGCGAATATCTGGGAAGAATTTATTGGTAGGATCTGGCGAATGCGTGGGAAGAATACGTTGTTAGGATTTTGCGAATGTGGGGGAGGAGAGGACTTATTAGTATTTATTACAATATATATCTCGTCACAGTAGCCGTGATAAGAATAGCAAGCTCTTGTAAAGCACATAAAAAGGGATGGACAGGAAACCATTACTTTTCCTCTCCTTTCGAAACTTGTATTTGTACTAAAAGAAGATTGATTGGTGTTGGTAAAACTCTTGGGATTTTCTGATTGGGTAGTTATAGTTTACTTATTTTTATAGAAACATATTGAAGACGTGACTCGGATCTCTCTGCTGGCGCATCTGCCTTTAAGCACGAGCTCTTAGTGAAACATTTCGTTCTCCAGGGTTTAAGACAGGAAATATACTGTTGAAAGATGTTCCTTCAGAAAACCGCTTCTTCTTAATCAGGTATTTCTTTAGGGAGTAATTATTGTTCAAATCTTCAATTATTAAGTTTGTTTATTTGAAGTTAAGCACAAAGCTACACAAAGGGCTATCTGTGCTCTGCCCACCACGGGTATCGAAACCCGGATTCTAGCTTTGTAAGTCCGCAGACATACCGCTGTGCCACTGGGGGGGTCTCAAATATTAAGAACGTCTGTTCGTTTTAACGTAACGATATCCAACAGGTTAGTATGAGCTCTATCCCCCCCTCCCGAGAAATTGAACCCCGGATTTTAGGGTTGTAAGTCCGTAAACATATAGCTGATCCACTGGTGGATGACATAAATATTAAGAAAGTTTTTTTTTTTTGTGGAATCTCGCACAAAATGCTCTAGCCGTCCCTAATTTTGAAGCGATAGACTAGAGAGAAGACAGCTGACCAATACCACCCACCACCAACTCTTGGGCTACTCTTTTACCAACGAATATTGGGATTGGCCGTCACATTATTACGTCTCCACAGCTAAAATGGCGAGTATAACGGAATACGAACCCGCGACCAAAGATTGCGAGTCAAGTGTCCTAACCACCAATTCATAACCTACCGCTGGCCCACTAGGGGGCACAAATATTAAGAAGTTTTGACGAATGGTAAAAGCATCACATTTATTAGCCTACACATGATTTGTAGCCTATATGCGATTCGTCTCACAGTTTTTATTTAGGAAAATGTTCAGAAAATTCAATGTTTGTTTAATAGATGAAATGAAGAGACCGGTGGTTCAGCGGTATGTCTGAAGGATTATAAATCCGGATTTCGATACCAGTGGTTGGTGGGTAGAGCACAGATAGCCCATTGTGTAGCTTTGTGTTTAACAACAAATTAATAAACTAAGATAAAATGGACTGTTTGTTTCACAACGTTAAAAGTTCTACGTTTATGTTAACTGCTGAAATGTAACACGTGCAGCTGGTTGGTAATTTTTAAAATTCTACGTTTATGTTAACTGCTGAAATGTAACACGTGCAGCTGGTTGGTAATTTTTAAAATTCTACGTTTATGTTAACTGCTGAAATGTAACACGTGCAGCTAGTTGGTAATTTTTAAATTATCACTTTCTATCACATCATAATTAATTAAAATTTCTCGCGTAATAAATTATGAGATGAATCACACCATCATTAGGACTAAAACATCCAGTCCAGAAACCCAAGTTATCTACAAGGAGATGAATCGCACCATCATTAGGACTAAACCATCCAGTCCAGAAACCCAAGTTATCTACAAGGAGATGAATCACACCATCATTAGGACTAAACCATCCAGTCCAGACACTGCTGTTTGTTAAAGTGAATTAAGTTAGTTTTTTAACTAATTCTTTAGCCACATACGAACAAGTTTATTACTTTAAAAAAGTTAATTATCAAGTTATTATTCAAAAGTTAATCGGTAAATATTTCTTTCATCATTGAATCACATTCATTGCACTAAACATAAACAAACAACCAATGAAAAATGTTTCAATGAAACATAATTAAGCCATTTAACAAAATATGATAATAACGAAAATAAAACATCAGTATCGAACCCCTTCCTTATTAATGCGAAAATTATGTTTCGATACTCGTGGTGGGTACAGCACAGATAGCTAATTTGTAGGTTTGACCTTATCAGCAAACAAAAAAAAAAAACATAAATACAATTGACATCGAAAGTTCACATTCCATTTACTGGTGTACGGCTCTGTTACTACTGCCATCTGGTAGGGCTTTTCTAAACTATGCTGTTTAATATATTCAAATTTCATTGTAGTGTGTTTGTAAGTACAAAAATAGAATAAAACAAAAACATGCAGCACCTACAATTCCCTTAAAATATACAAAAATAAAACAAGATTGATAAAGAATAAAAAAAATACCGTTTGAACAGTGTTCGTTCTCCTCAGAATATGCACAACCTAAGCCTGATGGGGGATGAGGAGCCACCACAAAGAAATCTAGCCCCTGATAATGATGAAAGTCTTGATGAGGCCCCACGTAGGTGTAAAATCTTGCAAGACTACCTTAATAAGCGGAAGGCTTTCAAACGTCGTCCTTTCTGCCTGAACTGCTCTAGTAGGTTAATCCTCCAAGTCTTTCTCTACAAACGTCACTCTGGACTAGGCAGATGCTGTTCATTTTACATTTGTTTGTTCATCTGCCTGAATTGTCTACAAAAGAAGGACTACATCTGCCTGAATTGTCTACAAAAGAAGGACTACACCTGCCTGAATTGTCTACAAAAGAAGGACTACACCTGCCTGAATTGTCTACAAAAGAAGGACTACATCTGCCTGAATTGTCTACAAAAGAAGGACTACACCTGCCTGAATTGTCTACAAAAGAAGGACTACATCTGTCTGAATTGTCTACAAAAGAAGGACTACATCTGCCTGAACTGTATACAAAAGAAGGACTACACCTGCCTGAACTGTATACAAAAGAAGGACTACATCTGCCTGAATTGTCTACAAAAGAAGGACTACACCTGCCTGAATTGTCTACAAAAGAAGGACTATACCTGCCTGAATTGTCTACAAAAGAAGGACTACATCTGCCTGAATTGTCTACAAAAGAAGGACTACATCTGCCTGAATTGTCTATAAAAGAAGGACTACACCTGCCTGAATTGTATACAAAAGAAGGACTACATCTGCCTGAATTGTATACAAAAGAAGGACTACATCTGTTTTTCGACAATCATTATACATCAGTCAGCTTGTTTTCTTTCGTACATAATATAGCTAGAACTCCGAGGAAATCAAACGGTGCTCCAACATCTCCCCAAAGATGAGATGGAAGGCTTCGGATCTAGTGAGGTACGCTGCATAAAGTTTTATGATCAAAGAGATGTGTGCATACTAAGAGAAATATATGATGAAAAAAGTGTGATCATATACAAGAAACATGATGATATACCTACACACATATATATATATATATTAGACTTTTAAGAGAAAGAAAATCGCCTTTAAAAACTATGGTAATAATTTATTAACTTGGAGACGTTTCCAGCCAGAAACAAGCTTGTCGGTTAATATACACCGTGGTAAGGGATTCCTGTATGGGTTTTCCAAGGAGCAGTTGTATTCCCTATCATCCCAGAAAAATCAAAGCCGTTAATATCGGAGAAACTCCAGGATTTAACCCCGAACTTCTGTGAAAGCGCGTTGTTCTGCTGAAGGTATGATCTAGCATATAATATAACCACTAGAAAAGTTGAGGATACTTCCCTAGGATGATTTATATGCGTAGCCAAGCCAACTACATCTCCTCGTGAATATACGGAAAGAGGTTTTTATATGCTGTAAATTTTGTACACGGCACAACTCACACATAAAAACAAATATCATGACGTTAGCCCTACCGGTACAACGCAGAGAAAGGTTGTTGTTGTTTTGAAGTTAACCACAAAGCTACACAATGAGCTGTCTGTGCTCTGTCCACCACGGGTATCGAAACCTGGTTTCTAGCGTAGTACACAAGTGTATGAAATATCAGTTGTTAACGTTGTGGAGAGACTAAATATGATTCAGCAGGGGAAATTTTAAACGAGACCCCTTTATTCAAGACCCCCCCCCCAGTAGCATAGCGGTATGTCTGCGGACTTACAACGCTAGAAAAGGCCTAATTATTAAAAACTATGATTTCAACACAGTAAGGTTTATTTATCATAAGCTACAACATGCAGATTAGTTGGAGACCACTTAGTGCGTTGTCGTCTCTCTAGATAAAGGTTTTTACCTTTTTTTTTTGTTCAAGATGATTTAACGTACTTTTGATATTTGCTATGTCGTTTACTATGCTTATTATACATGGGTATTCTCATACTTTTTCTGTTGTATTAATAATTTTTGAATAATTCGTTTCTTTGCTGTAAACCACAGAGCTACACAATGGGCCATCTGTACTCTGCCCACCACGGGTATCGAAACCCGGGTGAAGAACATTGATGTCAAACGAATATGCATCCTCATTCATCCTGATTTGTGTGTGTGAAATCGACGTCTTTTAGTCTCAAACTACGTGTTGTCGTCTTTCTTTTATGTATTGCGTTATGATGTTTTATGAAAAATCAGTACGTGATGGAGAAAAGTGGATTTCATTTTCTGATCCAGCGTACAGGAATTACTGTAGAACATGTACACATTTCAAGACAATAAAACCATTGCAGGCCTGAGCGCCCCCTACCACCTGGCTATGTTTTTTCTTCAGTTTATTCGTATTTCTGTTAACAGACATTATATCCAATAATGTTAATTGTGGTAAACGAAATAATAATTTGATCTAAGTAAGAGTTTTTTCTTCTCAATTTGTAAAAAAATATCCTTACAATATAGAAAAAAAATTAACATTATTCTCGAAATCTGCGTAACTGAATTATGGAAAATCCAATATTAAAACCAGAACAACTTTTAAGAAGTTTAAACTCGCAGGCCTGTGTAATCGTTTCAATTTTGCATTTTCATAGTACTGACTCTTATTGGGGGGGGGATAAATAAATATATATTTTTGTAAGGGTAGAGGTTGGGAGTTTATTTTGTAGAAATATTAGGGTGGTTTTATTTCAATGCATTTCTACTTTAAGAAATTTAAGGGTAACTGCCTTGCCACAACTGGCTT